GCGGCGCCCACAGCCGCGCCGGCAGCGCTCGGTGGCCACGGGCGTGCACGCACCAGGCCCCGCCGTTCCCGGAATGCCGCACGGTGCCGGGTTAATCATTCACCCGCTGCCCGTCCCTGTCCCCATCCCTGTCCCCCGCCTCCCGGCCAGCTCGGGGTCCAAGTCCATGGCCGGGCAGGACCGATGCCATCACGCGGCTGCTACCACCATCCCCATCCCATCATTCCATCCTTGTCCCTGCCACGTCCCCGTCCCTGCCCTGGCCGTCCCACCGGTATGGACCCTCCGCTCCATCCCCGCTCCCCTGCCCTGGCTGTGCTGGAGGGGCCGGGTCGGGGTCTCCCTGCCTGGCCAGGCCCCCCAGGATGAGCCTGGGGACACGGGGGACAGCCAGGGGTCACGTGGGGTGATGCTGGCCACAGTGGGACACGGTGCAGGGACATCCCAAGCCATGCAGGAGACACCGGAGGGGCTGACGGGAGATGTGACAGATAGGGACCCCACGGGGCCCTGGGATGGTGGCACAGCCCCAACGCCAACCTGCCAGCCCATCACCGTGGCCTCAGGTCACCCCGATGCCGGCCCTGTCCTGGTGGCCGTGACGGGGCTCTGATGGGGCGGTGATGATGGTGGGGGGACACAGGGTGTCCCTGGGGTCTGGGACAAACAGGAGGACCGGGGCCTTGGGGCTATGGGGCAAGGGGACCAGGGCCACCAGGGTTATGGGGTGGGGGGGGACTGGAGGGTGTCAGAATCATAGGGCTGGGTCCCAGGGCCACCATGTTTATGGAGTACAGGTATAGGGCCACCAGGTTTAGGGAACAGGGTCCCAGGGCCACCAACACTAAGGGATGGGGTCCCAGGGCCACCAACACTAAGGGATGGGGTCCCAGGGCCAGCAGGACTGTGGGGAGGGGGACTGGAGGTTGTTGAGGCTATGGGATGGGGTCCCAGGGCAACCAGGGCTATAGGGCAGGGGGACCAGAGCCACCAGAGCTATTAGATGGGGTCCCAGGGCTACCAGGGCTATAGGGCAGGGGGACAGGGGCCACCAGGGCTATGGGATGGGGTCCGAGGGCCACCAGGGCTACAGGGCAGGTTCCCAGGGCTACCAGGGCTATGGGATGGGGTCCCAGGGCCACCAGGGCTACAGGGCAGGTTCCCAGGGCTACAAGGGCTATGGGATGGGGTCCGAGGGCCACCAGGGCTACAGGGCAGGTTCCCAGGGCTACCAGGGCTATGGGATGGGGTCCCAGGGCCACCAGGGCTACAGGGCAGGTTCCCAGGGCTACCAGGGCTAT